AACTGTTTCGTGCTGGTGGTCGCCCATTCTATCCGGCCAGAGGAGGGAGAAAACCAGCGGCATAATTTTTTTTCCAGTGATTTTTTTTGTGTCATTCACTCTATCTCCCAACTTTTCATCCACAGTTTCATCCACGCAGATTTAAATAAACTCTATGTACCTGTGCTCATGGCAGTTTGGAATTGAGGACAATTGCCAGTAATTGCAGCAAAAAAATATGCCAAGAATTTCACCCACATTTCCTTGCAAGGTGCAGCGTTGTTGCAAAGTTCAAAATGCTACCCACTGCTAGGTAAGTGGCACACAAATTTCTCTCCTTTAGGCAGAAATATTTCGCACATAAAAAGCTGAAAAAATTGAAAGAGATATCTAAGTGGACAAAGAAAAGAAAGTGTTCGGTTTAAGCCCGAAAGCCCGACTATACAGAAATCGAGAAATGGAAAAAAATGTCACGAACACATCCGTCACTTGACAGATACTCTCAGTAAAAACATTGCCAGCAATCAATGACTTGGGCAATTTGACAACGCGCATCATGTACAATATTGACAATACTAATCACTGCTATGATTTGTTAGCGAGAACACGGTGAAGGAAAATATCTGAAGAAGCGTATTTTACGGCAAACGCTTCTGCGAACGCGCACCTGCCCCACCAAGCGCGGCAGATCAATGCCCTTCTGTATACGGTGGCGCCTCTGGTGGCCACTTTTGTTCCTATATGAAACGTTCGCGGGAGTTTCATGGCCAGTAAAAAGTAATGAGGGACCATGCCTATACATAGGTGCACGCTCACCACACCACCACTTTTTAGTGTACTACAGTTGACGCAGATCCGTGTCGACGTACGTCAACAAAGTTCCACAAAAGCATCCACGCGAAATTTTTCATAGATACACTTCACGGTGTGCTTCATCTCTGATAGCACGAGGCAAGTTGAAGAGAGCGAAACCGTTTTATTTTGTTTTACGGCCGTGCAGCATTGTTGAAAAACACGGACGTTGCATTGAACGAGCATTGCGAAACAATCTTGGTCGACTTGGCACACACTTAAACGCACCTCCTCTTCAGTTTATGTCCTAGCTACGATTTCGTCTTTGGTCACGGCGAGAATCCGGCTAGAGCCATATGCGCATGCGTCTCGTTTTGAACCTTTTGCATAATAATAGGGAGCTTTGGAATAGCGCACCGCGAGCCCTTGCGGTGCGGTTGCTGCCACTGCGCATGCGTCGTACGCAAGTCGGCGTTCGTGGACTGCACGCAAAAAATCCGAAATTGCGTGCGGTAATGGCGGGCCGCATGTGGCCCGCAAGTGCTGGTTTCAAGGCTACGGGTGGTGATGGCGGCTTGCATATACGACCTTCTGTATTTTACTGACCTGCCCAGTGAGTGAAGCACCAGCACGCCCTTTCTGGTATTGGTGCCTGCCGCTATGCGCCCTGTGGCGCTGCAACTTACCACATCCGCACCGGTTGCTGGCGGGCAAAACATGGGTCGCCGCGCTTATTTTTTTATTTTTTTTCGTCTGCTCACGTGACGCTGGGAGAAAAGCAGCAATGTTTACGCGTGCATACACTCTGGACGATTAAAATGAATAAAAACGTCTTTTTGAATAAACTTAAAGTTATAGTGACGATCTTTCGCTACCGTCTGCTCGTGCAGAGCTGCGACAGAAGCGTGCAGGTCGGTGCAGTTTGTACACCAGCGAAGCGAAGTTTCTTGGTGCAAATTAACCATCATAATGGTGGTATGCTACACTCCTTTCTACTAATAAAGGCAAGGGAAGACTCCTGATGTGACTTTTCATGAGTTTCCAGTGAACGAGGTCCATAAAATGGATCGAGGTTATTTCTGTGTTGTAAAAGACTACGCGTCTCTAAAGGAGTGAGTTTCTGGGCTGGTTGCTGGTGCATGATAGACTGAGACCCATATTAGCGCAAAAAAATAATAATAAACCGACAACCTCAAGAAAGGAAACAACGACGCGCTATACTCACAACTATTAGCCAAAAAAAAAGAAGGAAAGACAACATCAGTGCACATACGGAAACCATGTCACTACATGTGGTTATGCAACTAGGTTTTGAAACACACAAATTGTTTTTAAAATTAGCGTTGAATAAGTAATTTTAAGTGCTGTTTAGTTTCAAAACAGTTGCAGAGTGTCTTTCATTGATTATTCATGTACCTGCGATCTACATTTGCCATTTGAGACGACGATGCGTGCCGGATGCCGCGGACACTGTCAAGTGTCATAGTCCTTGCCCTTTCTTGCCCAGACAGTAAATGCAAGCCAGCTGAGTGTAATACAACGGCAACAAGTCTACTATTGTATACATGTATAGCTGGTATCATGAGTTAAATAAACATTTGGTGGCCAGTGCTTTTTAGCCCCTGTCTACGTCGTCATTCTTTATTGTTTTGCACGCTGATAGATGTGTTTGTACCTGATTTGCGATTCACGCATGCAACCCACGCATTCTCATGCATTAACTGGCGCTCAGCTGAGGTAACTCGAGCGCTCCCTAGGTGGCGAAGTTCGAAATCCGAGCCGGCGCAAGCAGCTCCGTAGACCGCCGCCAGCTGGGCAGGAGTACAGTAGGTCGTGCCCGCATGTAGCCCGCAAGCGCTGGTTTCGAGGCTACGGTGTCGCTGCGATCGTGAGTTGCGGATCGAAGTAGGGCAAACGCTATTCTAAAACTCATATGGTGCCCGCTACGCCCGCAGCACTTGCAAACGGTATTCTAAAACTTCCTAATAAATAACCCCACCAGCCACTTGCAAGATCACGTGCAAGGAACGCCACAATTACAGACGCGGATGGCAGAGGAAAGGAGGGGTAAGCCAAAGAGTAGGGAGGATAGCTCGAGAACAATGAGGGACGCTGCCCTTGCAAACTTGTTTCATCTAGGAACCTGAAGATCAGGCGGTGTCTCGTGCCACCTAGCCATAAAGTTATGTACTATCACCATGTGTTTAAGGATTAAATTTCACTCGTGGCTTGATTATAAGCCACCAATCAATTAGCCTCCTCCTGGTTATTTATACCCGTTTGAAGTCTTCACTGTCCCTAAACCCCACTGCTTTGAAAAATTTCGCGCCATTATCTGGGACTATAGGGTGGGGCCCTTTAAAGAACATTATCAAATGTTGAGCCGTTTCCACCTCCTCTGCACATGCACTGCATACCTGCGTTGGTATTTGGGTCGGTGCGTCTTGGTCCGTAATACTCCCGTTAATTCTGGCCTCGAACAGCAGAGAACTACCCCGAGAATTATCGTAGGTCTCCAGTGATGATTTCGTAAGCATCCCAATCTTTTACATGTCCCTCTCTGTTTTCTTCACCTTCTTGATCGATGTTTCCTTTTGGCTTGGTATTCTGCTGTTGTTTAAATACTTGCTTGACAATATTCGAGTTTGCTTCCTCCATACATTATCAACATTGATCATGTAGAAGTAGCCGAAAACTTTGCTAGCCCAACGCTCCTCTCCCATTTTGCACCTTACAGGTCTATCAAAACAGCATAATTCAGGCCGTACACTGTGCGGTAATTCAGTCCAGGCACTGCCCCCATGGAGTTATTCTATATGCTACCTTTAGCTAAAGGTAGCATATACAGTAACTCTACTGCGCCATTTAGCGGTGCGCCATCTACCGTCGACCACGGTCCTAAGGCCGAAACGGCTCATAATATTCACTGGCCTTTCAATTTTCTGCTGCCGCGGATCGTATTGCATATAAGTGCAGTGTGCACGTGAAGCGCTTATATGCAGTGTAGTCGTCACGTAGGTTCTATTTTCATGGTGGTTTTGGGACGTTAAACCCAACATATCACCATCATCGCTCTATTTGCATAGCAGCATCAATGCTATCACGGTAAATGTACATCGAACGCCGTTCTGTGGGATAGGTATCACTTTGTGATGAAGAATGCGAGTGATAAAAGCTATGCTCATAAACTGCTTTCGAGGCAAAAGCACGTGGACGCAGGTGTCAAAAAGCACAGTATTTGTGCCCAAAGTATTTGTGCCCAACCAGAAAACAGGCAGGATGGATGCGTCTCGGGCACTGCAGTACTAGCAGTACCGTCAATCACCGCTTACGTAGCGGAAGTGTCACGGAGAGGCTTTTGACCATGCGCTCACGTGGTCCATAAACTTTTGTGGTCATAGGCCGGCCATGCTGATTCACGTGGCCTCGGCAATCTTTGGCCGCCGTGTTGTAAGGAGCTAAGTAATTTCAGAGGCCACGCTGCTGATTATTCTACAGGATACGTATTGCCTTTATTAATACCTGGGGCATAACATCACAAAACCACGACATGATTATGAAGGACGCCATAGTGGACGGCTACAGAAATTTCATTCATCAGGTGTTCCTTGAAGTGTACTGACATCGCAGTACACGCGATTCTTGATGCTGACATTAAACACTCGAAAATTAATTGAAAAAGGCCACGCCCCTGAAAATTATTATGAGAAAAAGTTTGAAGTTTTCTTGAATGGATCCACTTCTGATCTTTCTGGAACAATAAACAAATGAAAGATTGCCAGTGCCCAACGTTGTCAGAAGTGACACGTCGTTTCATCGTAGCCAATGGAAAGCCACGCGCAATGAGGACGGCATTTGACTTTTTCCCACTATTAACTCGATCGTTCAAAAGTGGTGCACAAGTCTCCAGAGCTCGGTAAGATTCCGACTTTCACCAATCGCCGAACTCGGGTCACTTGCATAGCACCTCAGAACTTGTGAAGGGTTGAGGGTGCGCGTGTTGGTTAGTTAATAAAAACAGCGCGAGAGACGGAGACAATCGAATGCACTGTAGTGAAGAGGAATGCCCACTACTGCAGCGACATCGGCACGTGTGAAGTGCGAGCGAGGACTGTTGTTGCTCCTGCGACGCTGCCAGATCTTGCTGCTTCTGTCCTGATGCCGCTACCACCTTTCGCCCCGCGTTTACATTATAGCACAAAGGCACGTGCACAAGGTAGAGGATGCAATTATGTGACAAAAAAAGTTTTTTATTCGACATAACAAAGTGCAAATAGTAATGAGAGCATTAATAATGAAGTTGGCACTGCAGGCGCTGTCTCAGTTGAGAGGAATCCCCAGGACTTCGACGAAAAGTGTTTGGAGAGAGTCGTCATCGTAGTTCTGAAAGGAGAAAAGAAAGAGCTAGGCTAAGCACGTAATCATAGGCCTACCTGCTGGAGAGGGGGGGGGGGGGCAAGTATCTTCTCCAATGAAAATAGTTAGGGGCTGACTGAGCACACCCCCCCCCCCCCCACTTAGACAATGGTAACTGTCAGCTGCACGCTGAGAAACTGACTACTGAGGCCAAGTTTCCCTTCACCACAGTGATCACCTAATTTTATATTGAAAAGTTTCTAATTTTTTTCTTATAAAGATTTTCCTTGTAGGCTCTTCGCGATGCGGGCCGCCAATGCGAGCGCTTTGTGCTCTAGTATTGCAGAGTAGGCAAGTGTTGAGCAGGGGCCCTATAAGATTAGATCACTCGTTCATGCTTTTATTCTTCTTTGCTTGGCCTAAAATATATATCATCAATGATGCAAATATGGGTGGGAACAAGCAAGCATTTTCTGGACTAATCAATTACCATTTCCTGCTTCAGGAAAATAATTTTCTTTTACCAAAAAAAAGCATCACCACTGCTGCTGTGAGCCCTCATCACAGTGACCACTTAATTACACATTGAAAAGTTTTAATTCTTTTATTTTGAAGATTTGTTTGTAGGCTCCTCGTGGTGCGGCCCGCCTATGCGACGCTTTTGGGCTTTGCACTGTAGCATTGCAGAGCAGGTTAGTGTTGAGCAGGGGCCCAATAAGATTAGATCACTCGTTCATGCTTCTATTCTGCTTTGCCTGGGCTGAAATTTACATCATGAACGATGCTAACATGGGTGGGAACAAGAAAACGTTTTGCAGACTAATCAAACCATTTCCTGCTTCAGGAAAATAATTTTCTTTCACCAAAAAGAAATAGCATCACCACTGCTGCTGTGAGCCAATGAATGAGACGAAGTGTGTATAATCTCCTACGTTTTTGTCGCATACTCGAAGCGCCAATAAACGTTTCTTCTTTCGTCTCCTCCGATCAACCTGACCAGCCTTGTTTATGGTAGCTTGCAGTTTGCAGCAAAGCGACGAATAAAGCAGTGGACTCGAGTACAGTGGAAAGCTCAGCCTTTAAGCTTGCCCTGTAACTTCATTTACCAGACCAGGAATATAGCTAAGGTCAATCGTTTTTTGGGCAAAGAATACTTAGTTAACAGTCGGGCTATTTGGTTTTCATTCAACTTGAATTGATTTTTACAGCTCAAAATAAAACTTGGACGGCAAAAAGGCCGTCGCGCACATCGTTCCTTATGCCTTTCTCTCTCTCAGCAAGTATGACCTCGAAGAGTAGTACACACGCACAAGCAGCTAAACATCATTATGGTGCATTTAGAAATACTTGCGATGCTCCTATTAATTCATCTCGGCAGCTGTAGTAAGTAGCCACTGCTAATGTGATCGGCGGGCAATATACTTCAATTACGTTTACAAGGGTACGCTTTCCGGTTTTTCCAAGAAGCTTTAGGTATTCTTTAGCACATCGTGGTGCTGTTTAGTGTGCATTCGTCATAATAAGCATCACATTTTGCAGAGACGCCATGTAACAAGCAGGCGATTTTATGGCACACAAAAATTATAAATTCTGAATAACGAATGGCAAACAATATGTCGAATTGAATTATTCATTCTTTTATTTTTAAGTGGTCCTGCACAAGTGGTTATTACAAGATGGATCATTTTTACGTCATTTGTTTCCTTGCATAACAAGCTGGTGCTGTGTATGACCCAAAATAACTTGACCATTCATAAACAGCTAACAACCGTTTCGGGAGGAAGCAATGAGGGATAGTTTAACGTTATAATCACCTACTTTTTTTGTAAAGAAAGGTATTTTTGACATCATTTGTATTCGCGTATTTATGGAGCTAATGGAGCTAAGTGTTGATTGATTGATATGTGGGGTTTAACGTCCCAAAACCACTATATGATTATGAGAGACGCCGTAGTGGAGGGCTCCGGAAATTTAGACCACCTGGGGTTCTTTAACGTGCACCCAAATCTGAGCACACGGGCCTACAACATTTCCGCCTCCATCGGAAATGCAGCCGCCGCAGCCGGGATTCGAACCCGCGCCCTGCGGGTATGGAGCTAAGTGTCTGAGGGCCTTTCAAGACATCTTGTAAATACGAATAGGATGAGCGTAAAGAACATGCTACGCCCCCAACAACACAAATTATTGATTCTTTAAAAGATAACGTTTCAAAAGTTCACAATCAAAGTAATATATTGATAGTATTATTGTTATTATGCACACACTAGGAATGAAATTTGGACTATTAGCAAACAAGGCAAAGTATAATAGTATGCAAGAGCATGAATATATGCAAGAAACTGTAGTACTTATAATAAAAAGTATAATAGCAGTCATATCATGTGTAAAGAACATTCTACGTTATAAGAATAGGTGTAGCACAAAAACAAAATGCACCCTTACAGAGGTAATTGAATGTGTACTGAACATCAGTATGAGGGTTCGAACTATGTATACTTTGGTGTTTGGCAGCTATGGGACATGAGAAACTTATAGTGGCGCTCTCTCGCGTGTGACGTCAGCGTGCGGGCTCCGCTCTGAACCCCGCTGTAGCAGCTGCTGCTCCTTCGCACGGATCATCTGCTTCAGGCAGGAACTAAGTCCAACGAACAGCCTCACGAGGGCCAACTAGTGCCTGCAACGAATGTTTTCGAGTGCAGCTATAAATTGTTTTAATTGCAGCCCAATCGACAAGGCCAAGAAATCTCCCAGATGTCAGACGAGCACGTCGTTGCCACTGACCGCAATGCTGGTAAGAGAGTGAAACTATGAGTGAGTGTTCTCGCTCGTCATCCGCAGTTTCTGCGGTACAATATTATTTACAGTTTGGGTGTTTCTTTCGATAGTTCAATGAGCATGCCTTTCTCCAGCACATACAAGTATGTAGAAAAGCTTGCAAAATGCCAAAACGCCGTCGTCTCAGCGACGGCACGGCGGTGTATGACGCAGGTCAAGTTGAATGCGTCGTCGAGCCATGGTCATGCGAGAGTGTTGGAAGGGCTCGACTAATCATGCATCTCTCGCGTTCCAGGGTGGGTGACATTGGCTTTATTATTTCTGTTGACGATTTTCGCAACGCTAGTGACGGGAGGCAGGGCATCAACCCTTTTCGGCGGCTGCAGCAGCGCCTTCTTTCATTCTAGGTCTTGTATTTACTGGTTCATAGCCAGAAGTTCAGTGTTTACAGTTGTGTGTTGCGCATTTAGTTCGGCGTTGGATTCGTTCAGTCCTGTGAGAAGCATTTCAAAGATGCGTTCCCTCTTACACGCCAACTTGTCGATTATTTGCTCGAGCATGTCTACTTTCTTGGCACTTGACCTGGGTCTCTTCGATTCTTGCGTGTTCTCTGTGTCACCCACTTGCGCCCCACTCAGATTTTTGCGTTTGGACCCAACTGTCGATTCATCTACGCTGAGCATGTCCATCTCCTCTTGTGCTGCCGTACTGGTGTGCTCCATGGGCCCACACTGGGTGGAGGCTCTTCCAGCGATTCCCGCCATGCGCTTGAGGATTTCATTTAGAGTTTTTTGCAACTCGTCAATCTTCGCCGATTTCTCGTTTTGTAGTCTTGCCCTGCTCAGTTCATGTCTTATTTCCCTGTTTTCTCTGTCTAACTTCTTTAATCTTGCCTCGATTGGCAAGTTTAAAGTCTTCCCTAGGTCTTCGAGGAGTGAGCTCCCTACCGGGCTCCTGCTTTCTTCAGCTACCAGGTGTGACCAAGTCACCTTGCACAATGCCTTCGGCTTTCTGGCAGGTGGAGGCTGCCCATTTTCCGATGAGAAACTGGGCTCGCCACTCGAGTTTCATCCAGTACAGCTCCGGCTTCAGCTGTGGCTTTTGCTTCTACTGCGAGGCCTTTTTTTTACCGCTGATGAGGAGGAGTGAGGGCAAGGGCTGTGTTAGCGTCTTGTCTTTTTCTTTCTACAACAATCCTTCTCCAGTTTCTTTGGACGCAGTGTGTTACAAATCATTGTTTTCTGCGACGATCGAGTGCAGCGCTATGATTAAGTACTGCTTCATGCTTTCGTCCGCCCATGAAAAGGACGCTATCTTTCACAACTGTTCTAAAGAGAAGGACATGTCTGTCTTTCTCCTTATAATATTTTTCTGCGGTGCAATGGCAGTGGCAGTGAACATGAGAAAATGTGTGATAATCATTGATTTCTGGCCCTCTGGCTTTTGCAAACAACACATGAGATACTTACAGCACGGCAGTTGTTTAAATTCCTACTTCAGTAGTCAATGGACAAGTTCATGATATCTACTAAAAATTAAATGTAGTATCATATTACTAAATTTGACATAACCATGTTAAGATTGCAGCCATGGGTCTCAGCACGGTTTTGTTATTAAAACGCAAGCCCCTGATGTATCACAGGAAGGGGGGTCTTGAGGGGCACGTGCTGGTATGGCTGGGGGGAGGAGGCAAGTGCTGTCCGGCTGGCGCAAACGACTGCAGACCTAGCAGACAATTATGTCAAGGAAAGTGTAGCGGATTTTATATGAAGTAAATGTAATGTAAATGTGAAGAAAGAAGAGTGGATGAGAAGATAACTTGCCGTAGGCAGAGACTGAACATGCGCCCTTCGAATAACGTTTCCCATTCTCTACCAACTGAACTACACTGGCGGCTATCCCCCCATGCAATTTATAGAATATATATGTGAATTAAACATGGGATGCGTTAATCAGCACCGCCTATTGCCATGACGGCGAGTGTGGAACACTGTTTTTTCGTCTTTTTGGCATCACGTAGCACATGACCTTATTACAGGCGGTAAGATCACCAATAATCCCTCGTATATACTACCTGAAGGCACGAAGTGTGCCAGAACGAGACCCTCACTATGAATGAAGGAAAGAAGTGTACACTTAAGAGCTTGTTTTCTTTGCTAGACAAAATATTATTAAGATCTCAGAGACAATCATGTCAAGAAAATCATAGGGGATGATATATGAGGTAATTATATTGTAAATATAAAGAAAGA